AGCGTGCTGAAGCTTAAACCACTGCTGGATGTGACAGCAAATTTCACAGCTGCAGGCTGTTGTAGGCTGGATAAGGAACCACTGGATAGACCGTACTGCTGACTGCAACCGCGGACCGCCGTGGCGACAGTGGTGCGCGAGTCATGGACAGTTCAAATCCCTTTGTTTAAATCCTCTAGCTGAAATACTTTGTTCTTGTATTATGACCGTATCGGTCAATTTTCTACAAACTGCAAAAAAGCAGTTTGCAAGTGTATGTATAGATATGCCATTAGCTCAAAGGTAGTTGAAAAACACTAGAGGCTGGACCACAAATTTCACAGTAGCAATGTGTGGCATTAATATGACATTAATATCCTTATGGCAGATGATTAAGGCAGGAAATGGAGCTTGGTGAATTAACCTTCCCTAGCAGAGTGAAACACGCTCATATAAATTGAACTAAATTAATGCAATACATTGGAATATTTCCAACTCTGTCTTTAATGCAACAGGCCTTTTTCTTTTTTTAAAATCATAATTACATTGTAGATGAGTAACTAGGACATATGAGCCACTCAGCATGGAAGTGTTAAATAGAGTACATCACTGATTATGAGCATTTCATAAACCTAAATGTGACAGCTGATTCTTACAGACAGCCTAAAGATGCACATAACCATGTTAATACCTCTGTTATACCTCCTCTTAATTTAATTTTTTTCCATCTGGGTGTGTATGTGCAGAAATACCATGCATCTTTAAGCATATTACTTTAAATTGATGTTACTGAAAAAAAAAAAAAATTCTTTCCAAATGGGTTAGAGCTTTTGGGGGTTTTTCATATTATAGCCTAAGTTATTTTAGTAGGATTCAGTAAAAAATTGTCCCCCTTTTTCACATCGTCATACAAGTCACACATTATTAACATTAAAACAAGCTTTAAAGACAGTCAAGCCTCTTTTAATATCATTATTTTTCTTGGATTTCATTATAAACTATAGTTTACCATGGGAATCACTCCCTGGAGTCATTATTCAGATTTAAGTAAATAAGTAAAAACTTAGGAACACTGCAGTGTTCTACCCCTGATGTAGACATACAATGAAATATTGTGACTTTGGATATTAGACTGATTCCAACTATTAAAAAAAAGCTCTAAGAGGTCAAAAAACCCCAACCCAACAAACAAACAGTTCCTGCAGACTGGTAGATTATCCAGCCAAGTTGACTTATTGTAGAGGATACACGACACTTCATTTTGTAGAATCACATTTTTGACTCTGCTACTAGAACTGTTAGATCTTAATCCTGATGAAGTTGTTGGATTTATGTCTACTTACATGACTCGTGACTTTGGCTAAAACCGCATAATGGAATTTAGAAGAGGTTTGACAGAAATGTACTTGACGTGTACCAACCACATGGTTTTACTGCAACCAACTCTTGGTTCTTGGTATATCAAAATCAATTAAAACAAAGCAACATAGAGTGAGAAAAGATACAAAGTCAGGGCATTCAAATTTTTCTACCTTTAAGTTCCAGCATGAGGTCTGAATAACTGCAGTATAAATGATTTATATGCTTTCCTTTATGTTTTCCATGGTGACCCAGTACATGCGGGTTATTTTCAAAGTGACATGAGCCTGATTCTGATCTCACTGACTTAAGTTAAAACGTCACTGATTTCAAACGGTCAAACTAGGAAATGGATTCTTATCTGAAGCCTGTCTCTTCTTCATCACTGATAAAAGAAGTAAGCCATGTTTCCAGCTATTGTCTGCCAAGAAGAACAGAAGCCCTTTAGATCTGCAGCCTGAGTATGCTTACGATCTGACGTACACCCTGCGGCTCCAGGCCTTCTCTCTAACGTGAAGTGAAAAGCCCAAAGAAGAGTAATTAAGTGCCGAGACCAAATTATAGGCAGAGAATTGGGACAAAATGAATCAGTACACAAATTGGTCTGCTTTTATATGACAAACTTCTCATACAAATATTTCTGCATTAAGTATAATCTTCTCTCAGACTTGATCAACTAAGCAAACTAAAGAACATCCTCAGTTTCCACCGCAAATTAAACTTCAGAATATTACAGAGATCAAAGCAACACCTTAAGGAAATGAGTTGCAGTCAATGCATGTCAGTCAATGGGTAGACCGTTGTCATATCAGCGCAAACCTCGCCTTGGTATCTAGATTAAAAATGCTGTGTTAATTGTAATACAACAATCTACTCAGGAAATTGTTTTGTCACTAAGTGTTACGAGTTTAAAAAAGAGACGTTACAAAACAGGCTGTAGCTCACAGCACAGTAGATTTTGAGGGTCCCCTGCACCTGACTGCACATAGGAATAGAAACATTAGTTTCTTCTGGGGCCAGGTGAATGTTAGGCTTAGGAGTCACATTCCAAAATGAAGGAAGCTTAAATGGTACTTTATATAACGGATCGCGCAGAAAATCTTTTTTTGCAACATTACAGGGGAGAACATAGCCGTGGAGTTGTTTGCAGAGAATAATGTTCCACTGGAACTGTCTGATGCAAAAGGATTAATGGAAATAATAATCTCCTTTCAAAAACACCCATGTGGTGGAAAAAAACCCATAGGTGGATTTCATGTTCAAAATGAGGAAAAAAAAGCTAGAACAGAGCTTTTGCTAGTGGCATTTCACACAGCTCTTGCTGCTACTGGTGCAACGTCCATGAAAATTGATTTTTTATTTTTTATCTATGTACCCATTCATTTGGCTCTTTTCAAGATATATGTATATGCTAATATAATTCATTACCACCTTATGAGTTATGATTCAAGCCTCTCTAATTATTCAGATTCTTTACTTCACAATTCTACATGTTAAGACAAATCCCTAACCCCCCAGGAAGTGTGCCGATCTTCCAGTTCTAGCTGCACTCTTTGGGCTTCTCTCACCCTATCTGGGATTTTCTAGAAAGGGCATTTTCCTCTCCCCACAAGACAGTGTGTTTTGATCTCTTCCACGGGTGGGAAAAGGTGATGATGTTTTGCAGTCCAGCAGAGCCACCCCTATGGCTGGAACGCCATTTGACAGATTCTTGTAATGTACTCTTTATAAAATGAAAAGGCTCCATGTGCTCAGCAGTGAAACTTTATAATCATCTGATCATTTAAAAAGGTAAAATTTTTAAACATTACTATTTGCATTATATAATGTTACAGCATTTAGTAGAAAATGCCAATATATCCTAAAATGTCTCATATAATCCACGCCTATGAAGATGTGAACCATTATAAAGAACACAGAATGAACTTCTTTCATTGTACTTTGCTAACTGGAATTATAAGTCTACTTATACCTGCAGAGACTCATTGAGTCATGGTCAAAACCAGCTAAAGGTATTGTTTGGGATCCATCATTAGGGAGAATTGTGATGAACAACAGAATAATAATATGGGTGCAAAAAATCAGTGGGGAAAAAAGACTTAAAAAAAAAAAAAAAGAGAAAAGAAACGGCCAGTAAAAGGGAGCACAAGCAAATACATAAAACATCTACATTTTGAATAAGCCTGGAGCTAACATATTGAAAAGAAACTATGTTTAAGTGTGTTGCTATACCTGTATTTTGGTGTTGCATGAAAAGAAGGTAAGTTCTATTTTGGGTAGAAAGATACCCAGTAAGAGAGGAACCTGGCTACATTCATCGCACACGTAATTTCAGTTAAGTCATAACAACTGTGGATAAGTTTATGAGATAAGATTACCAGAAACGTGCACTGGAAAAGCAGAATTATTAAAGGTCAATGGATTTTGCCATAGGCCAAAGGATATGCGTAAGACACATGTACGGTATGTAAACCAGGGATAGGGATAATACAGCACAGCACTCCATTCTGAAGAATAAACCAGTAGCCAGTACTAAATAAATATTTTGCATTCTTCAGGTATCAATAAAATGTCCACCCCCCCCTTTCCCGTTCTTTCTGAGACATGCATATCATACAGTGGTTATGACAAAGCGTGCTCATCAACAATGAAAAGCCATCCAATGTCATATACAGAGCACTGGATATATTTTTGTGGGGTTTACCAGTTCTAGGAAGAATATCAAAAAAGAAACATTACGTTTTCTAACTATCCATCCTTTTACCTTCAAAACAATGAAGTGCTTTCAAACGCTATCTAGGATTGATTTGTATTTTTCACGTGGAAGATACTCCAGAAGAAAGCGTCCAGGAAGAGCTGCCGTGCCATGCGCGCAGGGACTGTTAGCATTCCACACAAGGAAATAACCTTACCTAGCAAATTCTCCACCCTGGGCTTGTGCCTGGCCTGCAATCGCATCCATGATAGCGTCTTGGGAATACATGCTGATCGGGGTGTTATACTGGGCATGAATTATAGTAGCCTTGCCGCCCAGGCCTTTCACCTCAATGGGTTTGTGCGTAGACAGGGCAGAGTCCTTCAGGACATTGGGGTTGAAACGCTCCGTGAAGTCCGAGCTGGGTTACGCAAGAGTGAGGTTGGACAGGGAAGGGAGGGGAAGACAGGAGAGAGGAGTGACAGTCAAGTGAGAGCAAGAGCACCAACAGAGGAGCGTGCGTGTCTGTTCACGGCATCTCACCACAAAAGCTTCCGGTCAGAGGACAAGAGACAACGTAAGTGAGAAGTAAAGGTTAAAAGCTGGCTGCGCTCATGGATGACATGTTTGTGTTGGCTCACAGACGTATAAAGAAGAAAAAAAGGTGAAACGGTTGTCATTGCATAAAGATGACAAATCCCTAAGTATTTATGTGATACTTACACATATCAAAATTCTATTCTTACATGCATATATATGTAAGTGTATACGAACATACACACGCACGTATATATGCATGCCCATGGACGTATGTACATACTGCAGAGAATTCCCAGTTTATTCACTGCATCCATTCATCCTTTCAGAAGGGTTTTACAAAGTGCTAGAAAGTGCAATGGGGTGAACAGATGTCAGGTCCTCTATTATTTAGAAGGTTCCAGTACTTTCTGTCTGGATTATTAATCATAGCAAAATTTAGTAGTTGCACCTTTTAATCTTCAAAGCTTTCCTCACAAAAATGAAATTAATCTTCCCAAAATCTCCATACAGCCAGCCATAAGTGTTGCTATAGCACGATAAATGCTCGGTCTCAGATCAAAATTTCCTACGGTGCAATCAACGGGACAACTGCAGTTGGAAGAGTAGCCACCATATTTTCCAGTGGCTCCATTTATGAGGAAGGATTTTTATTGGAGAAACTGAGCCATGAGCAAGTTAACTGAAGCTCCCATTGCAACAGAATGAGTCAGTTTAACGTCAGACTTCAGCTAAAGAGCACCTGGCTTCCTCATAGCACCTCCTTGTACGTTGTTCTACTCCTAGAGTTAGGACTGAGTATTGCCTGGAGTTTCAGTGAGCAAGCGAAAGCTCAGCTGGCAGTCACTGAAGTAGCTGCTCTTCTCTGACCTGTGGGAGAGCAGATGAATCTCCGGTCTGCTGTTCCTGTCCTGCCAGCAGCAGGAGGATGCTGGCAGTGTAGGTTCCGTATGCTCACCAAATTGGGCAAAACTGAGAATTCCGTCCTTTGGGAAATAATGGATATTTCACAAAAGTTTCATTTTGAACTGAGCCCAAAAGCTGGAAATGGATATATGTCCCCACCAAAAGAAATTCTGAAAAATGTAATCCCGTTTGATTGGAACAACTTTCCTTTTCAGTTTAAAACCTTTACATTGTAAGTGTATCAGCTAATATTAAGTCTTTTGCTGAATTTTTTCATGTGACTGAACAATGGCTTCTCTGGCTGGCAAGGGAACAACGGTGTGGCTGGCTGCCGTGGGCTGGCCCCAGAGGGTGAGTGCTAAAACCGAACCCTCAGCCCGGCGTGGAGGAAAAAGGAAAATCAAGTAAAGCTGGCAGCCCTCTGACTTAACCTTCCAGGGATTAGCAAAGGTGATGTGCCACCTCTGAACCTAGCCAGGGGGTTCCACTAGGTTTTCAGCCTTTTGTTTGGTGGGATGCCCTGACTGACGATGGAGAGTACGAGAGACAGTCACACGTCATTCAAAATACTCGATAGAACATTAACAGCCACATGCTCAAGGAACAGAGACATAAATCTGCACACGCTGTATTACAGCCACAGCCTTTAGTTACACACATCAACATTTTAAGGGAAGGAACCGGGAAGCTGCATTATGCATTCAAAAAGTGAAAATTATCTTTTTACAAAGACATTTTCACATTTCAAATCTCTCTCCATTAACTATTCGTCAACTGTGACAATATTACTATTACACTGACATCATCTGTTGAAGGGTGATGCGAAGAGACGTGCAGGTTGTTACACTCTTGACTTTTCAGCATGCACGTGCATTACTTTAACAACGGTATCTCTTTTCTTTGTAATACCCTAAATGATCACATGATCATTATGAACACACAGGTCCTTGAGATCTTGAATTTAGCATTCTCTTCCCCCCCATTAGAAGTATTGAAGAGATTCTAAAGCCAAGAGCTGAGAAGATTATGTGAATGAAAAGACAGAGATTAAACATGCCACTTTTAAAGAATAAAGTCCAAAGCAATTGGTTTCCACAATCAATTACAAAAATAAAAGCTAGTAATCTTAGAACAGCCTAAACTTCCCTAACGGTAGCAGCAGTAGTGACTTAGGCTTTCACTTGTGGTATTTAAACAGTTTCAGCGACATCTTTCAAGAGGTTTTAGTCACATTACGCGTACCAAGGTAAAACTTTCACTGAAGTTAACAAGATTCCCATAAAAATAAGAGAAAAGGGTACGGATTTTCAATTGCAGAGTTTCCTTTATAACTCTGGAAGTAAACAGAAGATATTAGTGCTTGTAAGGGGTGCGGTGCTCTAGGACAAAGTGGCAGAGGTAAGACCCTAGAGACAGCCGGAGCTCCTCTGCAAAACGAATGGGATTTTTCTACCAAGCTGGAAAAGGATCAGGAAACACAAATCCCAAAGCAAGTAAGATTAAAAACACCCCTGTAATGTGACTTCTGCTTTCTAAGACAACTGTAACAGAATAAGTATCAATGTAAATTGGCTAGCGTTTCATCACTCCAAAGGAGTTACATTATTTGCATGAAATCACACTCACACCTCATTAAAATCAACAGAGAATGCCAGATCGGTGTAAATTATATGCATTAAATATTATTTCAACTTTGTGTATTCTACTACTTCCAACCTTCTCTTGTCAGTCTAAATTTGACATTTAACTAATATAATTATTTGTTTTATGCTGAATTTAACCCAGTCTCTCCAGCAATTTCAGTTCAGAGATGGAAAGCGGGAATTTAGAGACAATCCTCTGCCCTTAGAAAACCAAAGGTCAAAGCTGAGGACTCTGTGAACTGTCCTAAATAAAGCAGATCAATCACATTTTCAAATCAATAGTTGCTTCTTGTTTGGGCAATATGCTCACTAAGGTAAATTACTTTTTAGATCTTTTCCATATCAGTATCTCATACCAACCTATATTTGAATTTTAGTGGAGTGGGACTTTGGAAATTAATTTGTATTGAGGCTAAAAATACACCAAAAAATGCTCAGATGAGGCTCCCCAAATCCTGAAGGCATGAAGACTAAAGAGTTAGGAGGAATTAAAGCCGGACTATAGAGACAAAAACATCTGAAAGCATTTACAAGCACTGAGCAAGCTCAGATGCTAACTCCATTTGCAGCATTAGAACATCACCAAGAAATGCCGAACATGTGGCGTGCTTAGAAGGGAGCACCACTGGACACCAGTGGCAGCCCGTGACGCTTGCCATACCAATAAGATTTTTTAAAAAATTATTTCCACTTGCAAGCAGACACAGCAGGAACACAAGGGATCATGCTACCCCAGAAAACAAAGCTTCACACATACAGCGTAACACAAATACTTGGCACTATATAGAAGCGATACTAACTTGGCAGCGGTGTTGGTTATGACCTAAAAGAAGAGAAAGAGAACAAACAACATGAAAACCAACCAAACAGAAAAAGTCAATAGTTTTTAGAGTGCAAAGGGCAAAAGGTATTTACAAAAGCTTACTAAAGCTTTTTTCAGACCATCTACAAATAAGAACAAGTAAATGTATGCCTGAAATCCCCAACGTGATGAAGAAAGGAAAAAAATGTAGGGATTATAGTTGATCCACTAGGACTTAGTAGGGTACCATGGCATTTTGGCTGACCCTTAAACATGATTTTATTGCTGTGCATCCCTAAAAGTACTATTATCAAAGTGTATGGGGGGAGGGAGTGGAGGGAAGAAAGAAGCATTGGCCGAGTATACGCTCATCTGAAAATAGCAAATGAGTGGTAGAGATTATATTCTTCCCTCAGATGCTAAATATTCAGGGATGAAGCCTGTTCTCCTCAGGCCGTCCTCAGAGTTGGTATTGCAAGATTGATTTTTTTGTTCTTTTACATGCTGGAGAATATCCAAAGAATATATTGGTAGATGTTTTAAATCTAAAACTAAGGAAAATGCCTTTGTACTTAACAAATTATTGGCCTAAATCTGACTGTACCTACACTATGCCAATAGTGGTGTAAGTCAGTTTCAGAATAGTCACTCCTAATTTATTCCATGTGAAATGAAGCAAGTCTGTGCATTATGTGGGTTTTTTTGGATATCTGTATCAGGATATTTTCTTCCATATGGTATGTACACAGTATGAAAAAAACGTATGTTCATGCTACATCCTGCTTCGCTGCATAAACAAGAAGTGATGGCAGCTGGCACAGTAATTCCAAAGAAACACAATACAAAACTCAACGTAGGCTTTATGCGGGCCAAAGCTGGGAGCAATGGACAGGTAGTGTGCTTTATATTATTTGCTAATAACTCTTTTCATTGGTCACACAAATAGCACTAATGGGCTACACCATTTATTTTAACTTAGCTTTTTCAAAGCTTAGAATACCCATATTTTGCTCTTATAATCTTGGGTGAAGAGTAACTCATTATATGTTGCGCAAAATAAAAAGGAAGAGAGTCTAGGATCAGTTAAGAAACATTTCTTCTTATTTCGCTGCACAGAATGCTGTTGACAGAACTGGGCACTGAACCTTCCAACTTGCTGCTGTAACATTTCTGGATCTGGGATTGATCCAAAATACTGGACAGCAATGTTACACTGTTAGAGTGACATTCAAAGTGGATTTGTCTCCTGCTTTTGCCTTGTAGAACCTTGGATTTTACTGCTTCTTTTCACATACAGTCCTTTTGCACTGGCTCATCCAGCTGCCTTTTTCATGACCAAAACCACTCTAATGAGCCAAAGCTGCAGTAAAGGCTTTGCACTTCCGCATTTCCAGGGAAAAGCAATCACAGATCACCTCCCGCAGTTACTGTTCTTCAGACTCTCAGATTTGAGAATATTCTTCTAACTTTATAAACCTTGCATTAAGCCAAATATATCAGTCTGTTACAGGAACCAGAAGAGATATATTAGGAACAAGCTGTAGCCTGTAAGCACATCAGTGCTCCTATATCCATTTTAGGTATGTGCAGGACAGCTGGGCACTCATTTACAATGAAATACAGTGTAATAGTATCATTTTCTGAAGTGGACTCTGATGCCTGCTTTAATCTTCTAATCCAGGCCTCTGCCTTATACATAAAATAATATTTTAAAGGCAGAGCTTCCGTCCCTAAAATACACCTTAATGAGTGGAACCACTTGTTTGCATATAAAAATACGTTCAAAGGTAAAAATCATTACGTGCACACACTAAGAACGGCTCAACGGCCGTGTGTCTCAGTAAAGATTTTCTGGATGTGAAGAGGCTACTATAGCTTCCTTCAGAAAGAGTAAAGCTTTACGTCTCCTTATGTTTAGTGTGTGATGAGAAAATTCTCTCCAGTTCAGAGCCACACATTGTTTTAGCTTGATTCTAAATATGGACCTGTATGAAACACCCAACTTGCTGCTCACAGAGGTCACGCAGTAAGAAGCTAGTAACCCAAGCCACCTGGCACGTACTTGTGGGACAGGTATTTACTGCCCTTGACCTGAAATGTGAAAAATAACTTACACTGGAATGAAAAGAACGACATGTTACAAGCTATGACTCACTCTTTGTATTTATTCATACTCCCCTTTCCAGAGCTTTCAGCACATCAAGTTCCACACTCTTAACAGGCCACCTCTATTTTCACCCTGGGCCACGGTGATAAAGCTTTAATGTAACAGTGTATCGGAGAAACAGGTGCTTTGTTATTCTTCGCAGATCAAGGAGATAATCTCAAAATGAATTTTAGCTTTCTGATAGGATTTTCCACAGGGTTTAGCTAAACCTCTAACAGCAATTCACACAATTAAGTTGAAATGATTTGGTGAAAAGGACACCCAACTGAAATATGAAATATACCTTAAGATCAACCCCCAAACCTGAAGTTTCTTATAGCTTTTACTATACCGCTAAATGCATGTTCATGGATGCATAATAAATTCACAGTTTTGGAGCACCATAATTTCACAATCTTTACGCAGCATTTTGTGTTCTACAACATGATAAGAATGTCCCCAACAAAGGCCAGAGCTGATTTTGTAGAGCTCACAGTGCTTTCCTTGTGCACTCTTTCACACATATCCCCAATGAGATCGAGTCCATCACGGATGATACCAAGTCCCAAGGTAGTTACAGGACCCATGTTACTCTCCACAGAACAGTAGGGAAGATGCCTCTCACTTCATGGATAACACTCAAGTGGGAGTGGGAATGACAGGATTATTGAACTCTGAATTTTCTCTGCATGTAAACAGAGATATACAATTCTCTAAATCTCAGAGGAATTGCCTGAAAAGACGCACGTACTTAGTAGCTCTGGGCTCTTTCACCTTTTTGGCTTGTTCCTGGGCTGCAGGATGAAGGCTGAATTCTTTTAACAGAACATTTAGATGAATTCTCATAAATTTTCTTATTTGTCCATCAGTGCTACAGATATTACAGGCAGCTAGACAGCAATTCCTTAAAATTTTGAAAAAAGAATAAATCTCAGAGGGTTGTTCTAAGGTAATTCAGTGCATTGCCACAGGCATGCACTAATATGTCCATATAAAAGACATAAAACATGGAAAAGCAGCAGAGTGAAGACAGCGAAGTGTTTCCTGCAAGTACACCTTTTTTGCACCCCAACAATCACTGCCATATTATGTAGTCCTATCGCAATGCCCTCTGGAATCAACAGAATGGTTCACACTGACTTCGGTGAGTGATGGATGCAGCTGTGTTGTAATTTTGATAATGAAGAAATAGTCAGAATGCTGAGCCATCCAAAATACAGCCCCTTCACCCTCACCCTTGCAGATGTTAAGGAGGGTTGTGAAGACAGTGGGAGAAAGATAGTGAGCTATACTCCCAGGAAACTGCATATTGAAATAAGACAAGGATTAGTTTTCCTCAAGAAAACTGTAAATTAAGAGAGAAGCATTCTGAGGTTTATTTCGCTGATCTTGCTTACTAACTGAAATTATTGTCTTTTAAACACTAATTGCCTTTCTTAATTATCCAGTATGGGAGGATAGGATTTTTTCAGATAAGTTAATGAGGTTTGTTAATGCCGAGTGCTCAAGAGAGTTACAATGAATCATCTAAACTGCTTGAATAATCTAGAACATCTATATGTGCTCTTTTATAAGGATAAAATATCCTTACTTTGCTACAACTTCAAACCCCTTGGTTTTATGCTTGCAAAGAGCTTCTGCGATGGGATATAAAGTACTTGAAAATATGCATTTGCTATCAGACCTCAAGTGGATTGTCTCAATTTTCTGTTTTTCCTCATACAGCCAAGTCCCTAGTGTTGAAAGTACACTTTTTCCCATATTCATAATAAGAAATTTATCTTCATTTTAAATAAACACAAATAAACAAATTAGAGATTTGTTTGCAAATTAATACATGAAGGCAGAAAAATTAGGAAAACCTGTTTCTCATTGCTTTTTCTCATGTATTGTAGTCAAAGCTCCTCACTTCACGAACCTACTAATTAAACAGTTGACCTGCAATACAGTAACACTGAAAACCTTGACAGCATGGGCTCAAACTATCTGGGTAGTATCTAGAGATCATTCCCCGTTACATACAAGTTAAGAGCAAAGCTAACGGTTGCGAGACAGACAATGTTCAAACCAGAGGATTCAAAATATTGCAATTTTGACTCATTTTGCATAGGAAAGCCAATACATTAAGGCAGGAATTATAGCTGGACACTCCAGTAGACTAGCATGTCAGATGTGCTGCTCAAAGCAGTTTCTCTTTAGAAGAGTACCAAAGATCAGATCTGTTTTATAGCAGCTTCTATAACAGCTGACAGTGATACTTGGTTCTATGAGACTACACGCATTACATGCTAAATGCCAGAACCCCGAGATGATCACAGTTACTTCCGTCAGCGTTCCTCCTCATGCCCTGCTGACTATTGCCAACCCATATCGCCATTCAGATACCAAAGACCAAGAGTTATTCTGTAATGGTACTGTGTATATGTTTTGGGGGGTAGTGGAAAATTTAATGATTGTTCCAGACCTTAATCATGCTTACCAGACAAATGCACAATGGGGCAGGTACTATTACATTCATTTTTCAACAAATTCATTACTTATTGAAATATTAAATATTTTACCATGTTACCTACCCTCTAGGAAGTCCACCTTCCGAAGCCCTTCGGTTGAGACTTAATTTATGCATCTCAGCCATTTCCCTTAGAGTCTCTGGTGAGTAAAGGCCAATAGGGTTGTTATACTGCCTCGCAGGGCTCAGCTGGTGTAAAGGACTATTGCCCTCGGTCACTACAGGGCTTAGTTTTGAACCTAGATAACTCTTTGCAGGTGAAATGTCAGGAGTCACAGACTGAGAGGACATGGAAGATCTAAGTGTGGTAGTCTTTAAGTAGGAAGAGCTATTTGAAAAGCTGATCTCTTGCTTGTTGAGGTAGCC